TATTCTATGGACTGTGGATGACAATGATGTGTCAATGTAGCTTCATTGATTTTAACAAAGTACTTCTTTGGTATGGGATGTTGATAGAGGGGGAGGCTGTGTATGTTTGGAGGTGATGGTATATGATAAGCCTCTGTACTTTCTGCTCAAGATGCTGTAAATCAAAGACTGTTCTAAAAATAGTTGATTAAGAAAAACTGTCATGAGCCATTAAAAACTCCACTATGAAACTCCAACTGTCTATCCACTTATTTCTTGCTAAAGTTGAGGGCAGAGGCCGCAATTAAAACGTGATTTACATTAAGTCAAAAGATAAAGCAGCATTTTAAAAGCAGCTGCCATTATTTTCATTATTTATTCATAGGGTACTGTGTAATTGCAGAATTGTGCTGAATAAAGATAAATGTGTTCTCTTTATTGAAGAACTTACAGTACAAAGATAGAATGGAGATTTAGGAACAACTTGAATTTTTCAGGATCATCAAAACAGGTATTCTAATGGAGTAAGTGAATCCAAAAGAGTCTTGTGTGGGTATGTTTTCTTGCACAGCATTTATGTTTATGGTTTTTATGCCTAATACATATTGAAAAGAACCACACTGTCCTTGATTTGGACCAAGTGTTGGCCTGTGTGCTTTTTATTAATTTCACAAGTATAGATGCATATTTCATGAATCTAATAACATTAGACAAATGACACTAAAATACACTCTAAACACTAAAGTGTTCAAATATGGGAAGTGGAAGCTCTTGAGTCTCACTGATCCATTATCAATCATTCAGAAGTGTTTACATCAATATAAAAGGTGCCATGCTTAAGGAATTTGGAAATAGCAACATTATACAATTCAGGCATTCATTTCCCCCCTCTTCTAAATGTTTATTTTTATTTTTAAATAAAAATAAAGGAGGGGCAGAGAGTTAGAAACATCAATGACAGAGAAATATCAATCAGCTGCCTCCTGCTGGGGATGTGCCTGCAACCAAAGTACATGCCCTTGACTGGAATCAAACACGGGACCCTTCAATCCATAGGCCAACGCTCTATCCACTGAGCCAAACAGTACAGGGTCTCTTCTAGGTGTTTAAATGTGTTTTCTGTGTTCCTATAACTTGTACTTGGTGTGCTTTTCTTCTGCTGTTGGTGTGTTTGTTTTGTTCTGTGAGGGCCAGATGACCAGTTCCCCCTAATTTAACTTAAAAGCTTAATACAGGAATTAAACACACTTTCCTCTGGCAGACTTTCTTGTTGCAACTCTCCCATTAGAGGAGACAGCTTGACCTTGTGGAGCTGCAGAATATGATGATCATCCTGAAGCCTTTGTCACACTATGCTTCCTTCCCATTTCCATTCCCACAGTACTGAACGACTCCAACACTCCCCAAAGCACACGCTCTTTTCTCTGCTTGTTGTGTCCTAACCTCCTCTTCTGGCTCACTCCTTAGCTTTGGAAACCCCAACTTATCTGTGCCCTCCCTCAGGAAGCTCATTGTCCTTGCTGCCCAAAACTTAAACACTACCTTTGCTTCTACTCAGTAGCTTACCTACATACCATGCACATGCTTCAAATGCTGTTGTTAGTCATGGTGCCATATTCCAACTTACTTGTTTTACAATCTGCCCCCCGCCCTCTGAGTGAGGGAACCTCATGTCTGATTAGATGCTGTATTTTAATCATCTGAATGTTCAGATGTCTTCCATATTGCTTTCAGTTACTGCTCAAGATATGTTGGCTAAATTTAAGTGATGCACATTACACTATCACCATCAGTGAGTGTCATTTTATTTAAAATCCAAAATGTATTTGTTTACTGTTTCAAAATCAAAAGTTTGCCTGGAGGATTTAGCATCCTAACCAGGCATTGCCCATGTCCTCCCCTTTTAAGTTTTCATTTTAACTGAAATAAGCTTTTCCCTTACTGCAGTTTCTCCAGGTTAAGAAGGCAGTGTGATAGAGGTGCATTAATGCAAGGGAGAGTTGCCTAGACATCAATAGACTGGAAAGGCTCCCAGCAGACCACTTGTGGTGTCAATAAAGGTTCATAATTACTTGCTCCTTTGAGCATTTTAGACCCAACCCCCTAGTTCCCTAGTTTGTTCTGCTGTGAATAGAGGCTGGTTCTTAACTTCCCAAACCACAGGCAAAGAATGTCAGACTTGGTGAGGACCTGGTTTCCTATTACAAAAAGCAGTTAGATGTTATCATTATTTTAAGCCATCCTGAGACTGGTAACTCATAACTCCTTTTCCTGCTCTCCTCCAAAATAGGATGGGTGGTGGGCCTCACCGTTTCTGGCTTGCGGGGGTGTAAAAGCACAGGGACAAGAGTGGATGACTGCTGGAGCTGCTGTAGGCCAGGAACAAAAAGTCACCAGGGTGGAAAGCCCCAGGTGGCTAGCATGGTTCAAAATGTAGGGTGGGAACTCACCCTGGGTGACCTTTCCTCCCCTAACCTATTGCTGCTGGTCTTGTGTTTGGAACCCCTGACCTTTCCCCTTAGAGATAACATCTAAGCCTGGGTTGTATTTCAGCTCCAGGCCCAGATAAGCAACAAAACCAACCACTGCTGTCATGAGGAGCAGACCCGTGGAATAATGACCCCTGCCCTGGTGCCAGCCAATCAATCAGTGGAGACCGCAACCCTGACATGACACACCTGGAAGGGTACTGGATATTCTATTAAGATCATTCTCTGGGACCTCTCCTAAAATCTCTACCTTTATTTTATTTTTTTTTTTCAGATTTGTGCTGCACTTTAATAAAATAATGCTCATAATATAAACACCTGTTAGACAAAGAAAATTCCATATCTTTTTTTTTTTTCCTTTTCATTGTACAAATCTCTACCTTTACAACCCTCAGGATGGAAGACCCAGTGTGCTCACCCTCTAGGGAGCCTGCCCATGCCCTCCTCTCCCCCTCTCTGGCCCAGGCACATTACCCTTAGCTTCCTCACCCCACATTCCAAGGGCCCTTCCTTTACCCTCCTAACTTGTATCCTAAGCCCCTGCTTCTCCTAAGAATCACTACCTCTGTAATTTACTAAACAAATGTTCTCTTACAGTTTGGGTCTCGCTCTGAATCCTTTGAATCCTTTCCTAGCCAAAACCCAAGTCTTGGGGAGGTTGCTAAACCCAGGTTTGGTCTGACCCCACAGGTCAGACACCTGGTACCCTTCCTGCCACCTACGAAAGAGCCACTGCTCAACCTGAAGGAACAAAAATTTCAACTGACAAGTTAGGGCTGCAGGGAGGGGGAGAAGAACTTGGGATCCTTGCCTGTACATTACTCTGGTGAAAATCCTGGGCTCCGGGCACTGTCTCCTGCCAGGAGTGCTTTGGATCCACACCACCTGCCCCATGCTGAAGAGCCAGCCCAGGGTGTGGGATGGTGAGAAGCAAACTTCTCTCTGGGTGAGGCCTTGGCCCAAAGGACAGTGGAGAAATACTCAGACTGAGCACTGGAACTGGATGGGAAAAATGCCCCTGCCTTAGAAGCGAGGAAACAGTTGGAGGGAGGAGAGGGTGAAAATCAGAGGATAAATACTTACTGAGACATTTGAAGAAGACCTTCCTTCCTTCCTTCCTTCCTTCCTTCCTTCCTTCCTTCCTTCCTTCCTTCCTTCCTTCCTTCCTTCCTTCCTTCCTTCCTTCCTCCCTCCCTCCCTCCCTCCCTCCCTCCCTCCCCCCTCCCTCCCTCCCTCCCTCCCTCCCTCCCTCCCTCCCTCCCTCCCTCCCTCCCTCCCTCCCTCCCTCTTTCCCTCCTTTCCCTCCTCCCTCCCTTCCTTCTTTTCATATTTTCCTTCCTTCCCTTCCTAACTTCTTTCCTGTTTTCCTTCACGTGTGCAGGTGTACTTGTATTTTTTTTTAAGTTCCTTGGTGATTGCTTTTTCTCAGACTCCTGTTTCTCCTCAATGAAATGTAAAATGTAAGTTTGCTTGACTTCTGTGAGGAGTTTCCGAATGACAATGAAAGAGAGTCACGTAAATATCCATCAAGTGCCTCATGTCCTCACTTGCTTCCTACAGGATCCTGTGTGTGTGTGTGTATTGTGGGGGGGTCACCCACCACCACCCTGAGAGGTGATGGGCTAATAATCAGTTCGTGGGTGTATTGACACTTTCCAGACTGAGCTGTGCCCGGTTTAGAAAACGCCTCCTTTCTACTCTCCCACCCCCCTACCTTCCCCTCGCCCCCCAAATCACTCTATTTGAGAGGCATGCGGATGCCTATAGGCGCGCATGTGTATGTGTGTTTTCAAGAGCTTGGAGCGTGAGAACCCTTCTTGCAACACACCCCTTCTTTATCGCTAGGATTTCGCCACCAAGAAGCCTCTCTTATCTGTCCGCCGCAGAAGTGCCTGCTGCACGCCGCTACGGCCAGGCCGCCTCGGCGGGCGCTTCCCAGTCCTGCGGGCTTCGCTCTGTGTGCAGGGGGAGCCGCCCGCCCGCCCGCCTGCCTGGCGCTCCCGCAGGGCCGGGCTGGCTCCTGAGCGTGAGAGTGAGTGAGTGAGTGAGTGAGTGAGTGTGTGCGCGGGTGCACGGCCGCCCGCCGGGGCCCGAGGCTTCCCTCCCGGCTCCGCGCAGGCAGCCGGCAGCCCCGCCCCCTCCGCCGCGATTGGCTGGCGGCGCTCGGCGCTCCCCGCCGGGGAGAGGGAAGGGCCAGCGACGCCCCCAGCCCCGCAGCAGGAGCCGCGTCTCCTTCAAAGCACAAGGTGTCTGGTCTTGGAAGAAAGCGGAGCCCCCCGGAGGCGGCGCGGGGCGATCCCGCGGGGGGCGGGCGCGAACCGCGAGGCAGGGCGCAGGGCTGTGCTCCGGGCGCCGGGGAGAGCCGGGCGGACCCACCCCCGCGACCCGCGCCGCAGACCCCGGCTCCAGCTCCCCTCGCCCTGACCAGATAAAGCCCCCCGCCTCCCGCGACTGACATCTCCCAAAACGGAGCTTCCAGACCCGGAGAAGGCGCAGGAACTGGGGCAGCCACGCCTGTCCCAGGCTCCCAAGATGCGGTCCGTTAGGAAGCGGTGGACCATCTGCACGATAAGTCTGCTCCTGATCTTCTACAAGACAAAAGAAATAGCCCGCACCGAGGAGCACCAGGAGACGCAACTCATCGGGTAAAAACGCAGAGCTTCCTCTTGGGATGCATGGTTTTTGGAAAAGTCAAGGCGGAGAGGAGAGGTGGACGGAGACAATAGAGGGAGGGTTGGGGTCCTCTGTGCCTTCCTAGGAGCCTGTGTGTGTGTGTGTGTGTGTGTGTGTGTGTGTTTAGTCTGCGAATTAAGTAACAAAGGCAGTTGCCGAGGTGTGCGTGCTTCCCTGTGCGTGTTCCCAGCGAGAGTTGAACTTGCTGCTTAGAGGCGGCGTGGGCTCCAGGGCTCGCACGCCCAAGGGGTAGTCACTGCACAAGTGTCAACAAAGAACGTGTGTGTGTGTGTGTGTGTGTGTGTGTGTGTGTGTGTGTGTGTATGTGTGATTGTCCTTTCAGTCCGCGGGCGTAACTCCGGGGAGGTGTCCTGATGCACCCTCCGGTTACCCTTCCTTCTGTCTCCGATTGCTGCAGAGAGGCTTGGGGGAGGCTGGCTTTCCCAGAGGCTGAAGTTCAAGCCCAGGGGCAGGACATGTGTCTGCACCCTCTCCCAGCTCTTCTCCGGCGTGGGGTGGGTCTGGGGAGCTCAGTGTGAATGAGAAACTCCACTACAGTGAGTTGCTCTTCTGTTTGTAAAACACATGGGTGTCCTGGGTACTGTAGCTTCAGACAGACTGTATTTCTGCCTTGGTGTGTTTTTTTCTTTTCTTTCTTTCTTTTTTTTTTTTTTTTTTTTTTCCTTCTTTAAGTTTGTCTAGTTGAGTTCAACATCTTCCTCCACCCCCAGTAACTTCTCTAAATATCACACTTCCTTCCTCCTAGCCCCTGGCCTCTGTCTCTTTGAAGTTTCACCCAGCGGGGAGGCTGCAACTTTGTGTTGCTTTCAGGGCTGGGGAGCGTTTGCTGAGGATTGGAACCTGGTTGTCAAAGGACTGGGTTCCAAGTCCTGTTTCCGGAAATCCTGCCTCATCCCGGGGCGCCCGCTGTGGGAAACTACACACTGGTGGAGATGCCCGCTTTGCCTGCTCGGTTTTTATCTTCCTCGGCATTTATGAAAACGAAGATAGAATCAATCTCTCTCTCTCTCTCTCTCTCTCTCTCTCTCTCTCTCTCTCTCTCTCTCTCTCTCTCTCTCTCTCTCTCTCTCTCTCTCTCTCTCTCTCTCTGGCCTAGGAGTGCTAAAACGTGCACAGGCACGCGAACTTCATGCACCCCATTTGTTCATATCCCTTCTCCCTGAGAAATGATCCTTTAAGCGAACAAGACGCAGGCTTACCCTGAGGGAAGTAATTTGCTATTTTATAGAGAATTAAGGTAGCCAGAAGTACAGTGGAGTGGACCTGGAAGATGATAAGGCTAATGAGGAATGGCCTGGATGGTCGCGATGCACCCACAAATCCCCAAGTGGGTCTGTTCTTGGGGGGCGGTGTGATGAGCTCGCTCACATGGAGTGGGGAGGTGGGCTGCGAAGGAGACCCAGCGCCGCGGCCAGGAAAGGGGGACCGGGGCGGGGGGCGGTGGAGGGCTTCGCGGGCAGACAAAGGGGGCTTGGGGAAGGTGCTGAACCGGCGCGTGGGGGAGAGGCGGATGCCGGGGTGTAGGGGAGGCTCTTTGTTCCCTTCCCGGCCGGTGGGCTCTGCAGACCAGCCCGCGCCCAGACAAAGCGGCCCGGCCTCGCCAGGGCGCGGGGAGCGCGGCCCCCGCCGGCGACCCGGGGGGCAGGGGGGGGCGGGGGAGGCGGCGCGCACCCGGGTCCAGTCCCAATTGGGGGGGGGGGGGTTAGCAGACCTAGGACGCCCCCCATTTCCGGGCCGATGTCGCTCCCGGGACCCCGCGGGCCGGTGGGCGCTGCCCAGGACGCGGGGAAGCGGGGGTGGGCGGGCCGGGCGCGGCGGCTAGGTGGCTGGGCCGGGTTTCACATCGCACCCTTTGCGGGGTGAGCCGAGGTCTCTCCTCTGCTCCCCTGAGACAACACCAGCCTGGGACTGGCGCTGGAGCTCATCACTGGGACTCGAGGTGTCTGCTCGGTTTCTCCCCCTCCTCCTCCTCTTCAGAGCTGGCCGCGAGGGTGGGAGGATGATGAGAAGACAGGGCGAGCCTTTTGCAGGAATCCGGCCCCTTTAAAAGAGCATCTTGCTCCCCGGCCACCTGCTCCTCCCCCTTCATTAAACCCGCAATCACAGGTGTGCGGGGCCCGCGCCTCCGTGCCCACCGCGCAGAGACTGGGCAGCACGGGCTTCCCCTGATTCCGGGAGTTGGACAGCAGCACCTGTAAGCGCTCCCCCTTTTTCTTCGGGATAAAGTGTTCAACAGGAAAGCTCGTGATGTCAGTGAAGGATTGCGTTTCCAACACACAAATGGTGCTTCAGGTGGAGGGGTGGCTCATCAAAAGATCGTTTCCTTGATCCTCTACCCACGCCACGTGGAGGGGCTAGTTTCCAGACCTGTGAACTGGAGTGGAGGTTTGGTCCCAGCGCCCAGACCAGTATTCCAAATGGGAGGGGGGGAGGGGGGTAAGGGAGGCAGTGTCTGACCTTTGGGGGGCACTGCGTGCCTTCTGAGCAGGCTAAGAGGATTCAGTGAAGGGCATTCCATAGTCCTCATCTCTTAGGACAGCCCCCTAGGCTCCTATTTGGCTTACTGCTACCGTTTCTCCATAGGCAGGCAGTTTCTTTGTCTATTGGACTTGTGCCTTTCCTAACTGCGAGTCCCAGCTAGAACCAGCGCGGCGCTCCTCCCAGGCACCCTGTGGAGCAGTCATTCCGAGTGGAAGGAGAGAGTGCACCAGCACAGTTTTCCTACCACCCATCCTCAGTCTCATCTGTCCACAGGAACACTGCAGCGTGGTTTTTCTAAGGGGCTGTGCGAAAATAGATCAAGTAATTATTGGGCATTTAAAACGGAAATTCCCTCCCATGCAAACCTATTAATAAAGTTGAACTGAAAGGGTATAAAGTGGTCTATTCTTGATGAACACTTCCCCCCCTATTAATGGGGAAAACGACACTTGCTTCGCAATTGGCCCAGGATTTCACTGACCCTGTGAGTGCTCTTTGGGTGTAATTGGAAATGTGTTAAGTGCCCTACGGGTAACATGTATGGGGGTATGCTTATTTAATGAGACAATGTATTTGAGAGAGTATGACAGCAACTTTAATATTCAAATGTTTGTTTTGATTGTGATCCTTTAAAGTTTGCCACATGCCATTTTCCTGGCTGACCACAAATGAGACTCTAACTGACATTTCTGATTATTTAGAGATCTTTTTAATTTGACTGTGTATCTTGTGATGTCTTACGGGTATTAGTTCTGAAACTTTTAACTGAATTGACTGTGCAAATAAGCATTCCTACTTGGACTGCGACCAGTGTCGGCAAAGTTCCTTTCAGAGTGTCCTCTTGTACATCAGGAAACCCAGGGTCTGTGCGTCCCGTCACATGATCCCTTTAGAGCTCTGCTAACAGTCATCAGCAGTGAGTTACGGTAGTACATTTCTCAGTTTTACTAGTATTTTTCGTTGTTTGACACTAAGGTAATGAAGACAGAAAACTGACTGCTGTTCGTGTTCACGCTTACTTGGGTGCAAGTTCTTTTCTTTTAAATGATTTTCAAAATTTTATATTAACCAGGAGATTTAACCTAATCCAAAGGAAACACATTCATTCCAAAAACAAATCATGAAGAGTTTTTCAGTGGGGGTGAATTCAGGGCTATTGGGATCTGATTTCATGAAACAAAATTAGTATGTGTTACGTGACTTAATAAATTGTAGGGATGCCTGACAACTCATATTTCAAATAGAAAGATATTTGTAAGTATTAGTAACCTAACTATTGATTAGTTTCTGTCACTAGCATTTCATAGATAACCATCTAAGAGGGTTTCTTTTAGCTTCAGACAAGCAGGAAAACTATATATATATATATATATATATATTGCTTTATGCTATATTATTTCCTTGATGTGTCTTATAGTTTTCCCTGCAGAGGTACATAGTGACTCTTCCTGTATATAGATCGCCCTATGCAAATGTTTTCAGTGCAGCTGTTCAGCAATCATGTCTGGGAATGAGAAGCTAGTAGAGGGGGTGGTAACATCCTTGCACGCACGGGAAGGAAAAGCCTTTTCTAAGAGAATGCTACCAAGTCACAAGTGAAAACCCCTTTGGGACCCATTTAACTTTATCCAAAGAAATTTGCTTCAGAGCCTCAGAGTGCACTACGCCAGGCCCTTTCATGCAGGAATTTCATGGACTTCAAGAAGTTAACTAGTTGCAGCTGTTTGCATTCAAAGCTCTTTCCAATGATAAAAACCTGAAATGTGGCTTATCAGCAGTTTTAAGTGAAAATAATTCAAATGGAAGAGTAACCTAGTAGCATTTCATTAATATAAATTTGATTTAAACTTTAAACACCCCCTTTTTAAAATCTGAGGGGTTCTGAAAAGGCTCCACACAGCTAGGTACCTCATAACAATCATCCTGCCATGTAAAAATATATCAATAGTAATCTTCCATGGATATTTTAAAATGTCAGCCTGTGCATAGTTTTACTTCTCCCATAAAGTTTATTAGTGAAAATAATTATTATAATCATAGCAATCTATGGATAACAAAATATGATATTGATAGGCCAGTTATTACCAAGATGTAGATTGGAAAGATTCATATCCCTGGAAATGGTCAAAGTTTGTGCCACACTCTTAAAGGCATACCTACAAAAGTGTGAAAATTAACTTCTGTGTATATTCACATTTTAATTCATATGTAGTTATTATCATTAGATATATAATGTAAAAACGGACTTCTGGACCACTGAGTAGTAAATTTCTCCCTGTGTTTTCTTGCATCCTACTAAATGACCTCTAAAAAATGATCACTATTTGCCATATATAGGATTGCCAATGTATCATTTTCATCAGTAAGATAGGTTAAATATTAATTTTTACAAAGTTCTAAATTTTACAGTGAGTAATTGCATTTGATGCCTTGAGTTGCTTCAAATTGGAAGTGCATGTTTAAAAAAGAATGCAGACCAAAATATCACACTATAAACCTCTAATTACAGAATTCATCCAACAGCTGTTACACAAGCAGTGTTTCCACTGATAGTAGGAGAGGATTGCCTACGTAATAAACAGATTTAGGCTTTCTGATTGAGCAAATAGTTATGCTATTTTTAAATTATACTTTTGAGAGTCTAAAAATTAAAAGGTAATATATAAAGACATAAATGCAGATGTTGAAAAGGCTATGCCATAAACAGGTGGCTTTCAGATCCTCTAAGTCTGGCTTTATATTTATAAAGTGCCAAGAAAATTGTTTAAACGGTGATCTAGTCAGCTATTAATGTTCCAATGGCATGGATGTAATTAGAGATATCTGTCACCCTCATCATTATTTCCAGCACCCCTGCTACTACCATGACACATGTGATACTTGATTGACACTATGGATTGAGGGGAGTAGTACAGTTAATTTCTTTAATGTACAAGAAATAGCAGTAATAATGACTACTCAATGAGTTTTCTCCCCACTACAGTCTCAATCTCTCTATCACCATCAACTGTCAGGAAAGTGTCTCTTGTTGAGATGACTCAAAGTAATCTTAGCAAGTAGCATGTTAATAGTGCTTTATAAATTACTTTCACATTCAGAGTCCCACACATTCCTCACAAAGTCATTGCAAATTAGATAATTTTATTGCAATTTCACAAGTTAAGATAATGATTTAGTGGCCTAGAAAGAAAATATTGTCCAAGGTCATACAGCCTAGCAAGTGATAGAATCACTAACATATCCAGATCACCTGATATCCCAAGGCCTTCTTACTATAAAACAAAAGCGCTTTCCAGTATGTGTGTATGCCTTCTGTGAAAATAAAATTACAGTCTTGGGAGTCACAAGTATACAGATGCAGAAGTATTGGCAAAACATCCTGTCTCCATTGTCTAAAACAGTGGGGAAGGATGGGCTAAACTGGAACAGGGCTTTGATGAGAATTTTTTTCTTCTTTAAATATCAGAAAGGTCTTTACTTTTTTTTTTTTTTTAGGATACTTTAATTTTTTTTTAATCTAGATAACATTGGTTTTTATTGGTTAACAAGGGTTTATTTTGGTATATAATATCATGTGTCAGGTGTTCAACATTATAATTTAATATGTGTACACTACAGCATGCTCACTACCACAGGTCTAATTTCCATTGTCACCATGCAATTGACCACTTTTACCCATTTCACTCTCCCATCACCCCTTCCATTCTACTGACCACCAAAAAAACAAACAAACAAAAAAACAACAACAGTTTGTTTTTACTTTGTTTTAATTTTTTTCTTTCCACATATGAGTAAAATTACATGGTATTTTTCTTTGTCAATCTGACTTATTTCACTTAGCATAATACTTTCAGGATCCAACCATGTTGTCTTGAATGTCAAGATTTCATCCTTTTAATGGCTAAGTAGTATTCCAATGTGTGCGTGCGTGCGCGTGTGCGTGTGTGTGTGTGTGTGTGTGTGTGTTTGTGTGTGTGTGTGTGTGAATCACATCTTTATTCATCTGTGGATAGACACTTAGGCTGTTTTCATATCTTCTGCATTTTAAATAATACTACTATGAACATATGGGTGCATAATCTTTTTTAATTCGTATTTTTATATTCTTTGGATAAGTAACTATAAGTGGAATAGCTGGATCATATGCTAATACTATTTTTAATTTTTTGAGAAGACTTCATACTTTTTTTCATAGTGCTACGCTAATTTGCAGTCCCCCTAACACTATTCAAAGGATCCCTTTTTCACAGCATCTTCTCCAACACTTGTGTTTTGCATTTATTATAATAGCCACTTTTACAGATGTTCAATGATATCTCACTCTAGTTCTTATTTTCATTTTCCTAAAAATTAGTAATGTTCAATGTTTTTTCATATGTTGTTGGCCATCTGAATACATTCTTTGGAAAATGTCTGTTCAAATGCTCTGCTTATTTTTTATTGGGTTGCTTGTTTTTGTTGTTGTTGAATTGAATGAGTTCTTTATATATTTGGATATTAACATTTGTATAATTTGAAAATACCTTTTCCCATTCAGTAAATTGCCTGTTTTGTTGATGGTTTCCTTTATTGTCAAAGGCTTTTTCTTTATGAAATAGGCTCTATTTCAAAAAGAATAAGTATAAATGATTGTCCTGATAAAATCATATTCACTTAATTTTTATAATACTTTTTATCATGGTTATTTAATTCTATTAACTTGTAGAAAAAGTTCTATCTACAATTTGTCACTAATTATCTAAATCAAATTATGTATTATGCTACTTAGATAAATGCTTATTTTCACCAAGCTGGCATTTTTTATTTTGTTTTAGAGATGGTGAGCTGTATTTGAGTCGATCCCTTGTCAATAGTTCTGATAAAATCATTCGAAAGGCTGGCTCTTCAATCTTCCAACACTCTGTAGAAGGTTGGAAAATCAATTCTTCTTTGGTCCTGGAGATAAGGTGAGTTTCTTTAATTAGCTATAATACATTTCACATCATGTTCTTGGATATATTGGGCTTGGCAAACTTATATTGAATATTTAATTTATGGTTTAAGTATGAATACTTTAAGTATGAATACTTTAATATAAGAGTGAACTGAACCAGTTATACTAAATGTTACTCACTGAAGAATATGAAGCCATAAAACTGAAATCATTATACAGTCAGAAATTTAAGGATGAATATATGAGTTTGAATATACTGTCTTTATAGTAATGGAATAAGATATTTAAGTGAGTACTAATGTTTAACATACTTTTCTTCACTCAATTACTCAGGATAGCCATATTTTTGTGAATTATCGTTTACTTCCCTGTTAAGTCTTCAAACTGATTTTGAGAGTTTTCTCGCACTAGATGAAAATAGAACTTATTCAACTCCTATTTTGCTGACAATTATAAATAAATCTGACATTCTATCACTGAGTATTTCTATATGAGCTTCTGTAATAAAAGTCTCAGTAATTATATCCTAAATAGGTAGAAAATCAGAAAATAATTTTTCTGGAATACTGATTTATTCTTTGGAATATTTTAGGTGAAACAAGCTCTTGAAAACAAACTTGGTGCCTACATATATCAACTATATCTTGTTTTTTTCAATTATAATCCTACTAGAGGCTAGGAGCATAAAATTCGTGTACTGGGGCGGGAAGGGATGTCCCTCAGCCCAGCCTGCACCCTTTCACAATCTGGGAGTCCTTGGGGGATGTCCTTAGCACCTCTGTGGAGGCAAGAGAGACTCTGTCACCACCACCACTGCTGCACTCACCAGCAGTGAGCCTGGTTTCTGGCTGAGCAACACTCCCTCTGTGGGAGCATACTGACTACCAGGGAGCAGCTCCTGTATTGAGAATCTGCCCCCTGGTGGTCAGTACATGCTATAGCAATTGGTCATTTTGCTGTTCAGTTGATTTGCATATTAGCCTTTTATTACATAGGATTACTAATAAGAAAGTTAGGGTCAGACTTTCCTAATTGTGGGGAAACAAACATAAGTTTTCTCTATAGTCACATTACTGTATTGGTCAGCAGGTTTTAAAAAGACCATTTTAGTAAATCAGAACTAGTGTACTGATTGTTTGTTTGATCTTTATTGTTGATAGTGTTACAGATCCTCCCTCCCTTTTTTCCCCCCCTTGCTTCCCACCATCTGGTTCCCACTCCATCCCAGGTTTTCACCACCCCATTATCTGTGTTCATGGGCAATGCATATATGAATATAAGTTCTTTGTTTAATCTCTGCCCAACCCCTCTTCCCTCTGAGGTTCATCAGTCTGTTCCATGTTCCTATGCCTCTAGTTCTATTTTATTCATCAGTTTAGTTTATTGTGCAATTATCAGCAATTTAAATAATTGTATAATTCATATATATATATGTATTCATTAGATTCCACATTTAAGTAAGATCATGTGATATTTGTCTTTCTCTGACTGGCTTATTTCACTTATCATAACCATCTCCATGGTATCTCAAAGGTTAATGGATCCCCTTGTTTTATAGCTGAACTAGGGACCTAGTGCATCTTGAAAGGAACTGTGAGCCGCGATGATGTGGAGGGCACAGGGGCGGGTCTTGGCCCATCCTCTAAGCCCCTGCCTGGCTTCTTCCACCACAGCCCCTGTCCCCTGTCTGCCAGCAGCCCCACTCCCACTGCTGCCGCACCCACATGCTGACAAGGCTAGTCTTGCTCATACCCATTGCTGGCATGGAGCGATTGGGGCCGGTGCCACCAATGGGTGTGAGCGGGGCCAGTGCTGACAGCAGGTGTGAGTGCCAGGCTAGACTGTGGTTGCCAGGCTGGACTTTAGTAACTACCAGAGGCTCATCCCTATGACAGCAACTGGTGCCCCGCCTTGGTCTGGAGTCCCTGCTCACCTGTTCCACCATCCCACTAAGACTGATGCCCTCCATGTTTTGTATGTGCCCCCTGTGGTCAGCATTTGTTATAGCAACTGGTTGTTTGGTTGTTCCACCATTTGGTCTATTTGCACATTAGACTTTTATACATATATAGACTAGAGGCCTGTGGATGAATTGGAGGGGAGGTCCCTCAGCCTGGCCTGCACACTCTCCTATCCGGGATCCCTCTTACATCTGGAATCCCTGGCTCCTAACCATTCACCTGCCTGCCAGCCTGATGGCCCTAACTGCTCTCTCCTCCTGGCTGATCCCCCTAACTGCCTAATTGCTCCAGCCTCCTGGCCTGATCCCCATATCTGCCCATTTCCACTCCCCGCCCCCTGGCCTGGTCCTCCTAACTACCTAACTGCTCTTCCCCTTCTGTCATGATTCCCCTAACTGCTCACCCCTCCTGGCCTGATTCTTCAAGCTGCCTATCTGCTTTCCCTTCCTCTCGGTGCCCTTTGAACACCAGGCACAGGCATGCTGAGAGCTCTCCACCATGCCCCAGCCCCTGTCCTGATAGATTGCTACATGACAGTGTCACGCCAATTTGCTTATTCCTCTATTATTAATATAGACTAGTAGCCCAGTGCACAAAATTCATGCATGATGTGTGTGTGTGTGGGTGTCCTTGAGCTTGGCCTGCACCCTATCCAATCAGGGATCCTTCAGGGAATATCCCACAGGGATTAGACCTAAACCAGCAATTGGACATCCCTCCTGCAATTCAGGACTGCTAGCTCCTAAGCGCTCACCTGCCTGCCAGCCTATTCTCCCCAACTTCCCTCCCCCTACCCCCTGGCTTGCTTACCCACAACTGTCCCCCCTCCCTGACCAGATCAACCCCAACTGCCCTCCCCACTAGCCTGCTCGCCCCCAACTGCCCCACCCCTCCTGGCCTGATCACCCTTAACTGCCTCTGCCTCTGCCTCTGCCTCAGCCCCACCAGAAAGACATCTGGAAGGTCTCCCAGTCTAATTAGCATATTACCCTTTTATTAGTATATATCATTAGTATATCGATAGATAGTACTCCATTGGGTAAAGATACCACAGGTAGGTTTTTGTGTTTTTTTTTGTATCCATTCGTCTACTCTTGGCACTTGGGCTATTTCTAGATCTTAGCTATCTATAATAATAAAAGTGCAATATGCTAATTAGGCCAGACATCCTTCCAGACAAGTGAAGCCAGGGCTGGGAAAGCCTGGGTCCTGGGTGCCTGCTGGCAGCTGAAGGAAGCCCAGGTCCCGGGTACCTGTTGACATTTGGAGGGAAGCCTGGGTCTCAGGTGCCAGAGGAAAGTCAGTGCTGGCAGTCAAGGAGAGGAAGGCCTACTCTTGCATGAATTTCATACATCTGACCTCTAGCTGTAAATAATGCTGCTATGACCGTAAGAGCGCAAATATTTTTTTCTGATTGGTGTTTTGGGATTCTTAGGATATATTCTTAGAAGTAGGATTGCTGGGTCAAATGACAGTTCCATTTTAATTTATTTGCTATTAATCACTGCCTGAGGATATATTTTCACTGATTTTTAGAGTGGAAGGGAAAAAGGGAGAAATCGGGAAGCAGGGAGGGAGAGAGAGAAAGTGTGAAAGAGGCACATTGATTGGTCACCTCCCACAGGCACGCTAACCAGGGTAGGGGATTGAACCTGCAACTGAAGTGCATGTCTTTGACTGGGGAACCCAAGACCCTTTGGTCTGCAGGCTTATCCTCTAACCACTGAACTACATTGGCCAGGCCCATTTTTAATATTTTGAGGAAGCCACACTGTTTTCCATAGTGGCTGTACCAGTCTACATTTCCACCAGCAGTGTGCTAGGGTTCCTTTTTCTCCACATTCCCACCGGCATTTGTTTGTGGATTTATTGATGGTAGGTTGCCATTCCGAATGATCATCCTTTACAAAATAAAATTATTAAATACTTCTAGTATTGACAAAATTCTAATCATTTATTAGATATTAATGTGTATGATTGGATAAAGAAGGCATGGTGCATATACTAGTAAACAGTGGAATAATACTCAGCCATAAGAAAAGATGAAATACTTGCAAAAACATGGATCAATCTTTCATGCTTAGCGAAATACTAAGTCAGGCAATAAAAATCAAGCACCATGTAATTTCACTCATGTGGAATATAAAACTGAAAGCAACAAATGAACAAATAAGACAAACAAACAAACAAATGACACGTGACAGACACAGACAACAGTATGGTGGTGACCAGAGAGGAAGAGGGGTGGGGAAGGTGGTAAAGGGTAAAGGGGGTCAAATATATGGTGGCTGATGGAAGGCCACCATATATTTGCCTTTGGGTGGTAAACACGCAATGCATTAGAATTGTACAACTAAACCTATATAATTTTACTAACCATTGTCACCCCAATACATTTAATAATAAATAACATAAATAAAAAGGATATATTTGTTTTATTAGGATGTCTCTAAAGAGAATTTTTAAATGGAAAGATTTGAAAAGGGAGACATGTAGGTAAGGGAAAGGTCAGGGGAAAGGGTAATGGAAGATAGCAAAGTAAAATAACTAATTGGCAATAGTTCAATTAATGTAACTGGCCATGCCTTCCTAGCATCCTAGAAAAATGAAAGTGTAGTTGTGCATGAGACTACAGAGCTGTATTTTGCTATTATTAAGATATTCAAACTAAATGTATTAAACATAAATTGACCCACGCAGTTCATTATAGTAATTTTACAAATTAATAAGGGTTGCATTCATATCTTTTAGGGTAATAGTTTATTTTTAATTATAACATCTGATACTATATGTAAAATATTAGTATTCTTTTCATATGTTTCTTGTTAACAGATAAAGAAATAGCAATAATACGATTAGCAAATATTAAGTAATGCATACAAAGCTGTCACATACAGTGAAATACTACTCAGTGGAATGTCATGGAATACTATTATTAGGGAATACTATTCCACATCTACAGAGGAATACTATTATTCTTTACAAGGAAATATTAACTTCTAAAACCATATTGTACAACATGCAAACAATTCATTAAAATTATAATTGCCTC